TAGCCAAGCCTGTAGTATATATATAGCTTTTAGTTCTTGCTAGCTTTGTTGCTTCCTCACCCCGCCCCCTGGTATCTGCACGCCGCTTGCCGTCACATTCACGCTTGTTTTGCTAGTGCCGTTAATTCTGTGTGCATTGCTTTCGTCAGGTCATCGCTTAACACCGCACCGTTATTTTACCATCCTTCGTAGTCACCCCTGTATATAACCATATCTATTTGCCACCGTTTAGCAATATATGTAGAGTAACATAGTGCAAATAGGTAGAATTGGACTAAATAAATGTAAATATTTCCCAATTTGTGGCCTGTTATTCCTGTGTGAAGTCTAACTCTCTCTAGACCCTCTGGACATACCGTGTCCTTCACTGCAGCCGCCCGTGTAGTGGTGTTTCTGCACTTTAAACAGGAACTGGCGCCCGAGGTAATCGCCGCCGCTCAGGCGTCATAGTGACGAACGACGAAAATACGACGTGACAACGTGAAATCCGCGTTTCCCCGTATAACGGCTTTTTGGCTCATTCGATTCGGACGAAAATTCCCTTCCACAAGATCCACTTCTTATTTGTGGAAGGGCGAAATGGGTTAGACGTCTTCATTATAGCCATCTTTCTCTATCGCACGGATTTCTATGACTTACTTTATCGCTCTCACGTAACGACCGATGAACCATGGGGACTTTCCGACCCTGTATAAGTTGCACTCTGAATATTATGATATATTTAAATTTGCCGCCAAGTGCAGCGTAATAAAGTATATTAGGCAGCGACATATATTGCACAGTTTTTGAATTACATTCTCAAACCAAAGACGGCTAGCACGGTCATTGCAGTTTCTGTTTCGTGTTGCAGTTGCTATTTGTTCACAGAACGGATATAAGATGGCGCCAGTTGCATCTGGAGCAAGTGATGCTTCCTATGAAAGACAAGGAAATAATTCCTCTTATTTAATTACTCATATGATTACACTCTATAATAGGAACTTTTATAGTTTAAATTAGCGTCTTGCCAGAACACGAAGTTCCCCGAGTATATTATTCATTTACATTCATAAATCTTTACTCTGTATTGGCACTAACACAACTCTAGCACGATTCATATCCGATATCTTGACACCTGACAAAATAAGGAAGCGAAGTCCTTATAAAATCAAAGATAAAACAATGTAAGGTGTATGGTGTGTTCGGAAGTAACGATTGTTACTAAAATAAAATTTTCTCTTGGAAGATCATTTTCATTTCGTAGACCATCACGGACCATCATCTCTTCTATATAGACATAAACATAAAAATACAAAATATAGATAATTCTCTTCCTTACAATTTCTACATTCATATCGATTTTCGTAAACCACAATCTGTTCTGGGGCTTGATTTTTGAAAACAGGAGAACTGATTCTCCAGAGAAAAAATTCACCTGACAAATTTCTCTTAAAAACATAAATACTTATTTTTGAACGTTGAAGGAATCCAATTCTCTAGAGAATTTAATTTATGCCGTATGTCGAGGATATATTTTCAACTAACCAATCAGCGGGCAGAGTTTTCTTCAATATNCGCTCAGGCGTCATAGTGACGAACGACGAAAATACGACGTGACAACGTGAAATCCGCGTTTCCCCGTATAACGGCTTTTTGGCTCATTCGATTCGGACGAAAATTTTGTGAGATAATGACAGCGAGGAGTGCTACATTAAATTTTGACACCGATCGCTCCATAACTTTTGGAGTTATTGACGATAGCGTCCTTGACCAATTCAAAAGTGTGGTAAAAATTCTGATGATAGTTTCCAAATATCGCCTCGAAGGGTCCCGGGGTTCGTCTGCAGGTTGCGAGAGTAGCGGCAGTGGACACTGCGCGCCGGGATGGCAGACCCAGGCGAGATCGGTCGCGGTGACATTGGAAACATCGGTGAATTTGGTCTTTAACGCTTTGGACGCGTTATCGCCGGGAGGATCGTTGTCGGGTTATGGGGCGACGTCTGCATTGAGATGCAGAGTCGCGGAAATTGCTCCCCGACGGTATCGAGTACGATGTCTGAAATGATACCGTGGAGACTTTTTTGATTTGCCCGACCGACGGCGATTAGTTTCGCAACCGTGGCGGGTTTGTTGTTTGAATTGGAAAGGTAGGTAGGTGAATATGATTGTTTCGCCTCCTTTCCAATTCAGCGGTCTCCGGCATATCCGTAGGTACAAGACTACTTCTATGAATATACTGGATGTTCTGAAATCCTGAAGCTCGCTCGAAGGGTGGAATACGACAAGAACCAATATAGTTTTAAACAAATGTATCTAACAATATTTTTCATAAAGAGGGGAAAGGTAAGTATATATGTCTATTTTATATCACAGTAATCAATATTAATTACTAATAATTATCATTTCTTTTCCTATTTATAACACAATAAATTTAAGTACATGCATTTAAAAAACACCTACTTATGCATTTTTTAGTCATTGCTTAAAAAGTGAAACCAATAATAGCCTTTTAATGGATATATCTACTAAAAAAGTCAATCTTTTATACCATTATTGTGTAACTTGCATGAAATGAAATTCATAAATCATTGACTACATAATTTTGTAAAAAAAAATCTGGTCAATTTTTACATTAGAACTGATCTTCTTTTACAAAACTTTGTAGTCAATGATTATGAATTTTATTCCATATATAGGGTCGGAAAGTCCCCATGGTTCATCGACCGTTACGTGAGAGCGATAAAGAAAGTCATAGAAATCCGTACGATAGAGAAAGATGGCTATAATGAAGACGTCTAATAGTCACCGCCCATTTCGCCCTTCCACAAGATCCACTTCTTATTTGTGGAAGGGCGAAATGGGTGGTGACTATTAGACGTCTTCATTATAGCCATCTTTCTCTATCGCACGGATTTCTATGACTTACTTTATCGCTCTCACGTAACGGCCGATGAACCATGGGGACTTTCCGACCCTGTA